GAAAGTGAAGCTGCTGTGAGCTGATGTCCTGAAGGGCTTTGAAAGAGTCTCTGAGTTTGACAGGAACATGAAGATGTTTGTGGTGTTTGTGATCCTCCTGCACGGTAAGTACACCTTCCTCTCTCTGCTCTCATCATCAGCTTTTCTTTCCTCTCTCTCTGTGTTGAAGTGCAGCAAGAGGAGATTTCCATCAAACACTGGATTCTGATTCAGATCAAACTAACAATCCAAAGCTGCTAAATCTGAACTTGTGTTACAATCACTTGCTCTGTGTGTGTGTCTGTATGTGGTTTTTTGTTTTTTTACACTGTCCTATGAATGAATCAGATTCCTGGAAGGGGACAAACTATTGGTTTGTTTAGCTTAAGTTTGTATTTTCACTACAACTGGTGGAAGTTTCATTAACTATATATTTCAGCTACAATTTCCATTTTGTATCATGTTTCTGTTTAGCTCTTTGTTCGTTAATTTTAGTTCTTTCACATGTTTGGTTACAGTGTTGTACTGTGCAGTTCAACAGAGTCTATTCTCTTTGATAGCACTGATTAAGCTGTTTTTACTTTAATGCCTTTTTAACTCTTCACACATTAGCATTAACCAGCTTTGTGAGTCATTTCTAATCTGCCTATGTCTGTGTACAAATGTTTGAACATATGGCAGATAAACTGTAGGCGTGTACGGTCCCTCGTTTATCGAGGAAGTTAAGTTCCAAAAATAACCCGCGATAAGTGAAATCCGCAAAGTAGACAACTTTATTTTTTACAATTATCATAGATATTTTAAGATGTTTTATAGACTTTTATCAAAGAGGGATGAACATTTTAGCACTTTTATCTCTTGTTTAAATGCTTTCAAAGTTCAAACCTTTGTAGAAAACTGAGTAGAGTATTATAGAATGAAACCTAAGGCGCCCTTAGGTGCCTTTGGTGGTATAAAACGTTTCGCTGGACGCATTCTGTACTGTACAGGAGACACAGAACGAGATTGACAATGGTCTACAGCCATTCAGGACGCAGACACAATGCGCTGTAAAAAAAAAACCACATGCAAAATTGCACAAAAAAAATCAGCGAAACAGCGAGGCCACAAAAGGTGAACCATGTTATAGCGAGGGACCACTGTATTAGAATCAATAAGGCACTGATAAGAATCATCTGGAGCAGACGTAAAATTAAAACTTTATTACAGTCTCTGTGCACATGGGCAGCTGGAGACCTGATGGTTCAAGTGTGGATCCTGTTATACTTCTAAAATTTGAGATGTAAATTCTCTGTGGACATCCGTGTGTTCACCATGTGATGAAGAGATTTATATGAGGTCTGAGTGGACCTGAGAGGCATGTATGTATACGCAGATATAGACATGCACAATCACACATGCGTACCAGCATATCTGTATGTGGTGATGTAATCCTTTAATTCAGAATCCATGATTACAAAAGAGAAGGAGAGGTTCTGATGGGATTCTTGAAAATGTAGAGAGCGAAAACGAAGGGAGCGAAAGAAGAAAAATGCCTACAGAAGTCTTATGGGTAGCTAGAGGTGGTAAAGTAAATCGATTTTGGTTTGGTTTAGGTAGCCTAACCTGGTGACTACTCTCGATTTTTATCTTTAGTATTTTTCTTGAACCACTGAGCCCTGAGTTGTTCCGAGCCCTTATTGGAGGAGACCAGTCCAGAGCATTAATGCCATGAAAAAAAAAAAAACAGCCCCCTGCCTGGACCCTGGGGAAGGGGCTACTTTTTATGACTTCCAACATGATTAGTATGAATTTAGTGTTGTAAGTAGAGCTTATTGATGTGAGAACCTCTTGGGATTGACCACTCACACAGACTGAGATATCCCAAAATACTACTTGGAGCTAAAAAACAAATATAAATAAATAAATAAAATAATAATAATAATAAGTTTTCCTACCCATCTCACTCTCTTTGTTTGCATCTTCTATTCATTATTTTAGTA